GACGGAAACATCTACAAACAGTGAGATAAATAAACCTTTTTCCTCTTTAACTTTAGGTATTGGGTATTTTGTCTCAGCAATGAGAGAAAAATAATTAAGACAAGAGGTTAGCCAATGGAAGATGCCCCTCCACATAAGAAAAGCAGCAATGCTTATTTTTACACAAATTTAATTTGCATATTTGAAATTTAGCTCATGTATGCAAATTATAGATGTATCAAAAGTCTATAATTATTGATTATATACATAATGCTCAAAGTCTACTCTCAAATAATGTCATATTCTTTTTCTTTGGGTGCTATGGAAATTCTTTGTGATTTTAGCTCTAGACTTCAGATTTGTATAACATAATTTAAAGATATTTATGGATCTATGTGTTTCATAAATATTTATTACTTTCTCTTACACAACATCTCTAAAGAAGTGACATAATAATTGGTATATAATATAGAATTCATAATCTTTTATCATGAATGTTCTAAGACACAGCTCTGTACAAATAAAAAGGTCAAAAACAGAGTGCAGAGATGATTTAAAATTTATAGCATGCACGATCCAGTAGAGAAAGACTGAAGCTACAAATCAGAGCTAGAGTCTTAAATTCTGGATTTAACAAAGATGTTTTTGAAAGTATAAAGTGTTTGAGGACAGGAAGACTAGTGCTTTGATGAGGAAAAAGAGCTTAACACTTAACAAGTGAATGCAGTTCTCTTCAATATTCTTTCTTAACTTTTAGGAGCAAGAAACTTCCTAAAGGTAGAAGAAGGTTGTATGGCCTTAGAGTTATAGGTCCTAGCAAGGGCTAGGCATAAACAGAAAACCTAGCTCAAGGTCACCTCCACAGGACGTGACTATTTGCAGGCTGTGTTGTCTGTTTTCTCTCACCATCACCCACACCCTGTGCGCCCCCAAACCACCCAGCTTAAACCCTAAATGACACAGCAGCTATGTCCCTCTACTTCTGAACCAGGACCTTGTTTCCTTTTCCTCTGGGCCCCACCCACCTTCCCTTCTTTCTCCTCCCTTGCCTCTCCTTCACTTTCCTCTCCCTGTTCCTCCTCTTCCTTCTCCGTGGCCTCATGGCTGTTTGGGTTTCCTCCACCCTTCTTGGTTTCCTCCACTCCAACATTGGATCTCCTGCTGTCCTGTGCCGTACAGTATTCTTAATGACATTCATTTCGGGAAACCTATGGACTGGGTCCATGACAAGGGTACAATTTCAGGAGCAGATGGGCCCTCCTGACATGGAGCATGCTTTTCATTCTTTCTCAGTTTGTGCTCAGATTCTTTTATCTTTTGGTTTGTAGCTTTTGACTGTAATTTGCAATGATCTTCCCATCTTCAATGATTTTTAGATTTTCTGTGATTTGAAAGATGGAAAAGGATCAAAGTTTTCTAAAGAAGATAAAAAGAATGTATATAATTAGAAGAAAAACAATCTTTTGGTTTTTAATAAAAGGCTGAGCAGATACAACTTCCAATATCCATATGTCTGCATCAGTCTCTCAGTCTCTCTCTCTCTCTCTCTCTCT